TTCCTCTGCTTTGGAGTCAGTTATTAATAAATCACTTATCTAATATCAATTACAAATAACATAACAATAACATTGATTTTCAATTCATCTTCTTCTTCTCAACTAAAATTATAGATCAAGTGGTTTTAAAACTAAAATATTATAACGTGGCGCCATCTATCGTAAGAATCTTAAACTAAACACACTGGCAACCATAGAAAAAGCTGGCAACGTTGTCAATAGCCTAGTGACGTAATTAGGAGTTTTTTTTTTATAAATATCTCGAAAACGGTAAACTCAATTGAAATTCCGATTTCACAGAAATGTTTAAAATTACAAACCGCCTTGAATAAAACCATAAAAAGTATAGGTCAGAAAAATTTTAACTACCCCATTATACATGATTATCGCCATCATCATGATAAAGTCCTATCATCAGCAAGATTGACAGAAACACCTTTTGAACAAAACATACCTATACATTCAAAAATGTATTTAATAATCTTAAATTCTTTCTCAAAATGGAAAGAGGTCTACGAAATGTCAAACAACGGCAGAAAAGACTGAAGAGGCACTACGAGAAACTTTTGCTAGATTTGGTTTGCCGGACACTGTGGTGAGTGACAATGGGCCACAGTTAGTTTCTACAAATTTATCCGCATTTTTCATAACAAAATGGTATAAGTCACGTAACAATCTCTCCATATCATCCTCAAAGTAATGGAGCGGCAGAAAATATGGTTTTTAAAAACAAGTTAAAAACGGCCTTTCAAGATGAAAGAAACAAAAACATAAGCTCAATATATTTCAAGATTTCTGTTTATTTTTTGAAATTCCCAGCATTCTACAACGGGAAAAACACCATTTGAGTTGATGTTCAATAGAAGAAAAGCAAGAACCCGGTTATCACAACTGACAGAAGGGCGATGACGGTAAACGAAGCCAACGACTCAATAAAACAACAAAAATTTAAAGAAGAGGAGGAGGTATACATTCGACAATATACCGTGAACGACAAAAGTTGGGTAAGAGCGAAGGTCCTGACACAATTAGGGAGATACGTGTATCTGTGCTAAATGGAATCACAAAAAGTAGTAAAAGGCACGCAGATCAAATACAAAAGTTTAGCGTTAGGAAAGTGGTACATTATAAGATTAAAGAGCATCCTTTGGTTTTAGATATAGGCAAACAAAGTGATTATTTTATTAATATGCCCAGCAAAGCACCAAATAAACTCCACATTGTTGACAGCAATGAGCTTACACAAGCCTAATTGCATAATGCTAACACTAACTCTAACAATTTATGCTTAAATTCCACTAATACAAGTTGTTCTAGAGTAACCTACTCCACTGCCAAACCTCAAGGGGAAAGTAAGCCCACATCAGACCCAGGATCGTCTGGTAGAGTCAGAAAGAAGCCAGCGTAGCTAGACACTTACGTTTCATATTAAGTTGGTAAAGTAGCGATCCCGGTAGATGTCGATTTACAAAAATACGAATTTCTAAAAAATAGTTTTTTTGTTTCTTTTTGGCATAGGGGTTGCTTGCTGGTAAATAGGTCAAAGTATGTCCACAGAGATAAAATAATACCTAGGTGATTTTTGTTACTATAAATGTGATACGAATTATATTTTATCTTTTTATATATGTTTAACTTATATGTAATAGATTATATATTTTATGATTGTTAGGTAGCACAAGCTTAGCGTGAGGGTTTTGTGAAGTCGCAAATATTTTAAATTGTTTTGTATAGCCTCATGGAGCATGCTCCAACAGGTGGCAACAGCAAATCCATTGTACCTATCCCTCTTGCCTGTAAGTCCCGAAGCTGAACAGACGTGTTCAACAATCGCAAGAAACGAAATACAATTGTTAAGTTAATAACGAGTTTTCCTCTTAAAAAGACCCATACCCCAAACATAACAATATTATTTATTTTAATTTTAGAAAAAAGAACTTTTTTTAAGCGTAAAATAACACTCTAAGTCTATATAGAAAGACTTCCCAGATAGCACAAAGAAGTACTAAAAACGTCCTGAGTATATCTTGTATCAGACATTAGTAAGTTCCGAATCAGGTCCTGAACCTTCCCCAGGACGTTCCACGGACATCCGATGTTACCAAATCGTCGGTCCCCAGAACGTCCTAAGTAAGACATCCTCTGGCCATCCTGAAATGCTTTATTGGGGACTAATGGACAAGCTTTACAGAATTGAAGAGTAGTATTCCCAAAGGCCCAGACAGCAATATGACGTATTTTATTAATTTGTTGAATGGATTTTATTAAAATCATTCGTCTCACTTTTGTTTAAATTTAAGCGTGCTCTTCACCGGCACCGATAGACGCCCTGTTTTCCTCTTTTGGAGCTCGTCAGTATCGGGTAGCCGTTTACCTAGGTCTAAGACCGTTTGGTATGGAGCACGCTCTAAGTTCTACTTCGTCGCTTCTTATATCAAACACAAGCAGTTACAGCGGTGAGAAGAAAGAATCGCATTAAAATGTCATAAATGTGACGTCTCCATGTTGACGTCTTAAAGAGTTAATATATTAAATCATATTATAATATGATTTCAGTAAGAAGAAAGAAAAGAAAATACTGTAAGATATCATATAACTAAAGTCTTATTTATGATACCTACCCTTATATACTATAGTAGCTTCTAATTTTGATTCCAATAAGAGGTCAGAAAAAAAGATACTTTAAGATGTTAAAAAATCCCAGGCAATACAGTGACGTGAATATCACGTTTAATTTACGTCTACGGTGACGTCGAAGTCACCAACTTAGACACGTCTTATCGTCGTAAAATTGACGACAATATGTCACAGCGATTTCACGTGTAAAATCACGTAATATTACGTAATTATTTACGTAATTTGACGTGAATAATCACGTAATATTTCTTGAATAATATATGATTAGGTCATACACATAAAAATAATTGTCGATACTGATATCAGATATTTCAATGCGAAATGTGATTTTGTCAAAATTAAAAAAACAAAAAATTTTTAGTTGTACTTTTAAATTTTAAGAAATAAATAGGTAAACCCTACTATATATAGTATATATATATATACTACTATAGTAGATATATATTTAGTAAATAATTAATAATCAAAATAAATGTATGTAAAAAAGTAGAATATCAAAAAAAAATTTGTTAGTTAATCTTTGCAGAAACACATACATATATCTGGCATTAAAATATCGGATATAAGAATAAATAATTATTTTTACCAGTGCATAAAGGGCTTTTGGTTTAATAATTAATAAAACATGTTTTAAGTTGCTCAAAACATTTATTATAAAATCAAACACATTAAATTTTAAGACAGATGACAGGTCAATATTTTAGGAGCTTATGTAGGTACTTCATTTAGGTGTTATGACTTCGTTACGAAATATACTGAGTAATTAAAACATTAATAAACAAACAAAAATTGACCTACCTGACACAGCCAAAGTATTATCAGTATAAATGGTTTGTTCTATGTACAAATGCCACAGATTATAAAAGTTGGACGCTTGAATCAACCATATTGTTTTTTAGGAATTAACGTTCCCTCGCTTTGTAAGTAGTGCCAACTTACCCAAGGCCAAAGAGAAACAGGGTTGCCAGGTGTAAAAATTAATATTATCGAAGAGGGTTAACAAAATGATCAAATTTACAGAAAATTATATAAAATTATCAAAACAAAAATTGTATAAAAACAAGCAAAACTACTAAATTATGTTACAATTATCGATTATTATTTAAATTTTACTATTTTAAAAAAGAAAATTATAAAACATCTGGCAACACTGACGCGTCGGGTAGTTAGGAAAATCATCTCATAGATGTCGTAATGTGTATCGTTACAGACTACAGCCTCGGCTGTCGCCTCGGCACTACTTCTCCGCCTGGTATATTAGGTGTTTCTTAATATTTAATTCGCGTCAACGCGTTATTCCTGACGCGACCCCATTTACGAGTTTCAAAGGCGCGCGTTTGCTCACCTTCGAACGTCAGCTGGTTCCTCAGTACGTGTGTTTTATTTCGTCTGGAGCGCGTTCGAAAACTCGCAAGAGTGCACTCTGGATACACTCCAAGTTTACCTTGTGCGTTCGAAATCTCTGGTATATACCTAGATATATGCAACTGTCAACTGTTCGAAAACAGCAAGTATATGCCCAGAGTGCACTCTCGGTTGTCCAAGCTTTAGACTTGGTTAAGTTTTACCCGTCATGCGCATAGGGTACATCAAACAATAATTTGAATTTACCTTCATATAATTTATTAATATCCATTTAAAATTTAATAAAAAAAAACGAAAAACATTTAAATAAAAGAATTTATTTAAAATAAATCATTTAAAAAACATCAGCTGCGTAGCCTGTGTGGGAGAAGTTTAACAGACGAGCTAAATTCATTAATATTGCGGTTCGACAAATTAAAAATGGGTCCATTTTCCCAAAGTATGAGACATAAGACGAAATCAAAACACACGCACTGAGGAATCAGCTGACGTTCGAAGGTGAGCAAAGGCGCGCCTGAAACTCGTAAATGGGGTCGCGTCAGAAAGAACGTTGACGCGAAGGCCCAGGAAATACACGCAAACCTCAAACGCACGCGAGTGACTCGTAAACCCGCCATTAATGTCATGGAAACATGTACGATAAAGGGCGTTTCAAAGGTGGGAGTAGAAAAAAGAATTTAGTGTTATTTGTTCAATCTAATATATGCAAATGTTTTATCCTGTACGTAGTTGCTTACACAAAATATAATGTTTAATTGGGCAACCGAATAATTCAAGCTCATAAAGCAACATTAAACCAATATTAACTTAAATAAATATATAAAATATACTTATATACCTAACGCAAAAATTGTGTTATTATTGGAATAATTAAGAAGTTATTGAATACTGTTGGAATTACCATTTTTTAAGTAAAAAATGTGTTTTTTGAATGTTGATTATATACATAACATGCGTATTTGTAATAATAACGCTAGTTATATACACAGAATAATTCAATTATAACCCAAACACTATATTCATATCCGTACAAATGAGTTTGGTACTTGACTGTCTGGCTAAATAATTACACAAGACATATAGGTAGGTACATAAAAGAGTTGAGCAATAATAAAGATTTAAAATATTGAGAAATGTTTTAAAATTAAAAAAAATATATATTTACATATATACATACTTAATAACAAATTATAATTATAAATAAATCTACAATCCAACCAATTTACCACCTACGGCATTAAGGGAATTTGTAATTTTCTTTCCAACTTGTTTAGCCTTTTCAAATGGAATCTAATATTATTAAAAAAAAAACAATTAAATAACAACATTATTATGGGCATTATTAAAAAACTTACGTCCACAGCAGTATTTAAAACATTTGAAAAACCTTCAAACTTTCCTATAACCGCTGTCCCAAAGGATCTCAACTTATCTCCATCATTACCAAATTTTTCATGTTCTTGTATTGTATCGACAATAGGTTTTGGATTCAACAAATTAGCCACAAAGTGTTGTAGGTTCGTATATTTAGAATCTAGTTGACTAGTTAAAGATTCCGTCTCTAAGACGGCTTGTTTCTTGCCCGAATCTGGAAATGTGCCAAATAGCGCCTAAAAATTAAAAAAAAAATCTAATTTAAAACAATTTTTTTTAAATATTATAAGTATGTGGTGTTAAATAAGAAAATCTCTTTAACTTCCAACTTGAAAATTACGCTTTGTTTCGCATGTAGTGGAAAAGTCATAAGGCTTTAAATAATAATTATTATAAACTTATTTTGCAATATCAGTAGAATATTGAAATCATAGTTTAAATTATATTGCTTAGCAATTATGCTTATCTTGTAATTTATACGTGTTAATGAACTTACCGATATGTTATACTGTCTGTAAACCAATAATTAAAAGATAGAATAAATCGAACACCGTTCCTGTGAAGACCTATTGTGTTTCCTTGACTTGACTTGACTTGAGTTCGAACCTTACCCCAAAATATTCAGACATTACATGGCGATCCTGCCAGTGCGTGAGTTAAGTTAATAAAATCTTTCGACTGAGATTTAAAAGTGAAATGGGAAAAACACAGTCGAAGGAGGAAGTTATAATCGCACAAGCCGGAAATAGTGGTGGTATCTCTGCATCTGGTGCTATTGGACTTACACTCTTTGAAGTAGGGGCCGTTGTGATAGTGGCATTCATAATTTTTGGCATTACTTTCTACTGTTGTCACCGAGCTAAGAAGTAATTGGAAAGAAAAATTAGAAAAGAAATCGCAAGAAGTCTAGAAGATTTGGCATAGCATCAACTGACTGTACCGCAAAGGGGTCAGCACCGTAGGACCGTACTAATGTGACGAAATGTCGTTAGTATGCACCGTAGAAGCCCTGGTCAGATACACCGACGAAATGCACCGTGGAAGCCCTTAAAAATATAAGTAGTACATTTAATTAGTTAAGATTATATATTTAGGTTATTATCGTATTATCGTTATATTAATTACTTAATGACAGACCTTGAAACTCTATTTGATAATTTAAAGTCCCTATATACTAATATAAAAAAAGAGCCGCAAGAACGGAGAGTTAATCTAGCAAGGGTAAATAAGTTAATTTTAGACGTAGGTGATATAGAACAAAAATTTCATGTTTTAAAACTTCGAGCTGTTAACGAAGATAGTTTAATCGAGGCATTTAATTCAAATTTAATTAATATCCGGGCAATTTTATTTGACCGTTTAAAAAATATAACACAGACAAGTGTTAGTAATCTAGATAACGTTTCAATAGTAAATATGCCGGAAAAATTTGACCTTAAAACGGCAGGTACATTGTTACCTGCTATGGATGGCTCAGAGTCAGTGACAAAACAATTGTTGGATGCGATTGAATTATATAGCGAAATTCTAGACGACGCGGGCAAAACGTTTCTAATTAAATATGTTTTGAAAACTAAATTGACCGAAAACGCAAAATTAAGGCTTAAAACAAGTTATACAGGGGTAGACGAATTAACTAGGGATATAAAGGCTAAATTATTAACCGTTAAGTCTGCTGCTTCTCTATCAACACAGCTTCATTTTGTAAAACAAAATAATAGGAATGTAGATGATTATGCAAAAAGTGTTGAACAGCTGTTTCTTGAATTAACCCTGGCACAGGCGGATGGTAATGATGCCGCTGTTCCAGTCTTAAGGCAAGTAAACGAGAAGCTTGCTATCAATGCTTTTGCTAACGGGTTGCGTGATGGTGAGCTAAGAACGATTATAAAAGCTAGGGACTACAAGGAGCTGAAGGATGCTGTTAGCGGGGCAAAAGATGAGGAAAAATCCCGTGTTACGTTGAACAACTCATCCAGTGTGTTTCATATGCGCAACAGGCAATCATCTTTTACGCGTTCTAGAGGGCACTATAACCCTGGGATTCGCGGTCGAGCATCGTTTAGTACCAACACCAGGAATAATAGTAGGTCTACATATTCAAATAGTAGGTCAAATTTTAATAATAATTATAATCAGCGCGGTACGCAAAACTATAGACAGGTACGAAGTCGTGGGAACAATGTGCCTACGCGTGGTAATAGTACCCACAATACGAATTGCCGCAGAAGTTACTTTGCAGGTTCTGATAGTAATAGGATAGATGAATGCGAGAACGTTGTACAAGATAGTAATAGGTTTTTTCGTGAATGATGTGTGTAGTAGTTTTAGCGTAAATGGATTAAATTTCATACGTGTTAAATATAGGTTTAAGGAATTATTATTTTTATGCGATACAGGTTCTTCTTTAACTTGTCTATTTAAGAGCTGTTTTAATGATGACATAGATGTAATTGATACATCAAAACAAATAAGTGTTAAAGGCATTGCAGGTTCAACAAAAACTATTGGATCAGCAAATATTTCAGTTTCTATAGGGACAGAAAACATTAAATATGATTTTTTTATTACTGATGATTTTGATCCTGATTTTCATGGAATTTTGGGATCTAATTTTTTTTGTAAATTTGGAGTAACAATCGACTTTGAAAAATTTTTATTTTTATTTTGGAATAATAACAAAAAAGTTCAAGTACAGCTTGAGTCAAAAAATGATTTTTGTACTGTAATTCCTGCAAGATGTGAGGTCATTAAATATTGCTATACAAATTTTACGGAGGAATGCGTTTTAGTAAATAGCGAAATTTCCGAAGGGGTATTTGTAGCGAGTTCGGTTGTTAGGCCCATTAAAAATAAGATACCGGTTAGATTTTTAAATGTAAATGAACGGGATGTTAAGTTAAGAAATTTTCAGCCAAGAGTTGAAAGTATAAAAAATTATGATTTATGTAGTTTAGATAATAATCCTATATCCGTAGAACGGGTTGATAAAGTTTTAAATTGTATAGGCTTAAAATCGTTAAATAAGGAAGAAAAAGTATCAATAGAGAAAATATGTGCAAAATATGCCGATGTTTTTCATTTGGAAGATGACCCCTTAACCGTAACAAATCTATACCAACATGAAATTAAGCTAAAAAAGGACTCTAAGTCTGTGTACGTTAAACCCTACAGGTTGCCGGTTGCTCAAAAAGAGGAAATCCATAATCAAGTAGATAAAATGTTACGGGATGGTATTATAGAGGAGACGGTATCAGAGTGGTCTTCTCCCTTACTAATAGTACCAAAAAAAGCTGATAAAGATGGTAACAAAAAGTTTAGAGTTGTTATTGATTATCGGTTGCTCAATAAACAACTAGAGGATGAAAAATTTCCACTTAGTAACATAAGTGAAATTCTTGATTCCTTGGGCAACTCTGTATATTTTTCGCATCTAGATTTAGCTCAATCCTACTATCAGCTGGAATTAAATCCTAATTGCAGAAGGATTACTGCTTTTACAACCGACAAAGGTCAATTCCAAATGAAAAGATTGGCCATGGGTATGAAAATCAGCCCCAGTGCTTTTTCTCGTTTAATGACAATTGCAATGACAGGTTTGAATAATGAGTCTTGTTTTGTCTATATGGACGATTTAGTTGTATTTGGGCACTCCCTTCAAAACCACAACCAAAATCTAACAAAAGTTCTGCAAAGACTTCGAACTGTCAATCTCAAACTTAACCCAAACAAATGCGATTTTTTAAAAAAGGAGATTTTATATTTAGGTCACAAAATTTCTTCAGAGGGTTTAATGCCTGATGAAGCAAAAGTTGAGGCAGTTTCAAAATTCCCTGTACCGAAAAACAGCGACGAAACAAAAAGGTTTGTTGCTTTTGTAAATTATTATAGAAAATTTATAAAAAACTTTGCTGAAATTGCATATCCTCTTAATATACTATCTCGTAAAGGTGTAAAGTTTGAGTGGACTGACCAATGTCAACAATCGTTCAATAAATTGAAGACGGCACTTATGAACCCCCCTGTGTTGCAATACCCAGATTTTTCACCCAGTAATCAGTTTATACTTACCACAGATGCGAGTGGATATTCCTTAGGTTCAGTTTTAGCTAACGCAAACAATAAACCTGTTGCGTTTGCATCTCGTAGTTTAAACAAAGCGGAACGTAATTACTGTACGATAGAGAAGGAATTACTAAGTATAGTGTGGTCCGTAAAACACTTCCGACCATACTTATATGGCAAAAAATTTAAAATACTTACTGACCATAAACCACTGATCTACTTGTTTAATATGACCAACCCCTCAAGTAGACTTACCAAATTTAGGCTAATTTTGGAAGAATTTGATTTTGTTGTCGAGTACGTACGAGGTAGAGAGAATGTGGTAGCGGATGCTTTGTCACGTATTATAATTGATTCGTCTGAACTAAAAGATATGAATGCGAGTGTGAATGAAAGAGTGCATGTATTAACTAGGGCTCAAAACCAAACAAAAAATGGCAATGACCAGGAAAATACAACTAGAAATGACAGGCTTGATCACCCTGTTGTTGTAGAAGTATTAAAACATCCATCTACGATGGTAGAGTTACGTTTGCTCACAAATAAAGAATTCGAAAAAATTAAAAATAACCAGGACATTAAATTTGATAGTATATTTTACGACGAAAAACTGCAAGTTATTTATTGTAATCAGGATTTTCGATCATCGTCGGACTTAGGTAAGTCGATGAGAAACCTGAGCAAAATTTGCAAATTAAAAAATATTCCGGAATTACCTATATGTTATGAAAAATATTAATAGCGCTGAATTTTTAAATATGTTACGTAAAAATAAAAAGAAGTTAATAGAAAATAATATTAAATTATGTGTAATTAAAGATAGAGAGAGAATCGATGGAAAAGAAATGAGAAATCTTATTTTAAACGACTTCCATTCTTTACCTACAGGAGGACACGCAGGTGTCAACCGTATGTATAACAATATTAAAAAACGATACTTTTGGCCTAGTCTTAAAAGCGACGTAGAAAAGTTCGTAAAAAAATGTGATAGCTGTCAAAGGTACAAATATTCGGAACCAAATAAAGAACCAATGGTTATAACTACAACAGCTTCTTCTGCGTTCCAAAGAGTTTTTCTTGATATTGTAGGACCTTTACCTACAGATCTGCTAAATTATAAGTACATATTAACTATCCAATGTGAACTTTCGAAGTTCGTTGAAGCTTACCC